GCAGAAAATCCCACCCCGTTCGGCTCCTTATGGCGCTGGGAGCCGGGCTGTGGGGCTCCGAGCTGAGCACAGGGAGATCCTGGCTCAGCGTTCGAGGCTCAGCGTTCGAGGGCTCCGCAGCGCTGGGGTTGGAGCTGTGGGGCTGAGCATCCCTTCAGCCGCTGGGCAGCGTTCAGCCCCAATTGCAACGCTCGTTAAATCAGCGCAGCAGCACTCCAGTGCTCCCAATGCACCTCCTGGGCCGCGGTTTGTCTCCAGAGCACCGAGCAGAGCTGGGCTCCATCCCCGCGTGCCTCCCTGCAGGGATTTATGGCCTGAGTCCCCTCTGCCTCTCGCACAGCAGCCCCGACCCTCAGCCTCTCCTTCCAGCAGAAGGGTTTTCCAGTTCCTCCCAGGAACTTTGCACTTCTCCTTGGAGGGCTCCTCAAGGTTCCCGGCCCCCCTTTCTCCTCCTGCCCTACAGCGCAGCGCTTCAAAACAGCCCCTGGCAGCGCCCGGCCGCTGCTCCTCATTAACCTCCTCTCAGCCGCGTCTTTCAAGGCTCAAAGTAGGGCAAAGGGGTAACGAGCAGAGCAGCTGCCGCGTGAGATAACAAACTTCTTCTGACGCCCTTTGATTTCCTCATCGCTTTGATTCAAACACCGCGAATCGGCACTGATGGGCTCGCTGTGATGCTAATGAATCAGCGATGCCCTCCAGCCCAGGACTCACAGCATCAGAGGAGCTGCAGCACCCTGAGCTCCATCCCTTCCTCCCTCCCAGGACCATGAGCTCCTTCCTCCCCCCCCTTCCAGGACCCTGAGCTCCATCCCTTCCTCCCTTCCAGGACCCTGAGCTCCTTCCTTCCCGTCCTTCCAGGACCCTGAGCTCCATCCCTTCCTCCATTCCAGGACCCTGAGCTCCTTCCTTCCCATCCTTCCCTCCCTTCCAGGACTCTGAACTCCCTCCCCTCCTTCCTCCCAGCGCCTGTTCAGGAGGGTGGGATGTGAGCACAGGTGGGAAAAGGCAGGAGGAGCTTCTCAGTCCCCCACAAAGCAGGGTTTCCTCCTTCCCAGAACGTTGCTCCAGACTCCCCTGCTTGGTTCTGCTCACAGCTGTGCCCATTTCTCCATCTCCATCCATCTCCCCCCCACGGCTGCCCCACGCAACAACGCAGCAGCTTGCAAAAATCAATACTAGACCACTAACCTTCAAATTAACAAACTGTAATTTTTTCTCCAAAGATACATTTTCCATACACATCCATCATACACTGTAACAAAAAAAAGCAGTGTACATGAAATAAGAAAATAAATTAAATCCATAGCATAGGTAAGGAGGACGCTCTAGACTGGAGTAGAGTCGAAAGTTTCCAGCGATACAAGAGGCTCAAAAGTTTGTTTTAATAAGAATGCCTGCTAACAAGGGTCCAGCAAGTGTTTTAAGTCAGTCCGACTGCTTAAACAGTTTCCTTTTAAAGTTGGTAACAGCCATTATTGTCCTGCAACAGGCAGAGCTATGATATCCTGGGAGAAAGCCGGAGAGGCGCGGTGAGATCCGAGCACAGCGTTTGGGAGCGAGCAGATGGGTCCCGCAGCGTCTGCGCTAGCCGTCCTCCTTGGGCGGTGTGTACCAGCCTGAAAGGAACACAGACGGGTGAGGGATGTGGCTGCACAGGAATGCAAGCCCTACAGCCTGGAAATCCCCAGCAGGAAGCAGCACAGCACAAATAGGCTGAGCTGCACTTGCACAGGGCTCTGCGCTGCCCAGGAGGGCACCCGGCTCGCTGGGGCGCTTTCCCCTCCGCACCCCAAACGGTGCCACGCGGTTCTGAAGCAGCAAAGAGAAAGGTTCTCCCCATCCCTGCAAGCCTCACCATTCTTCTCGTGGATCTGAACCAGGGATTTGTAGGACTGCTGTGCTCTTGTCAGGCTGTACTGATTCTGCAAGGGAAATCGGGGGGGACGGTCAGTTCAAAGCAGCTGCAGGTTTTCCCCACGCCAACCGCGCTGACACGGGGCCGGCTGCCTTCTCACATCAGCCCCTCCAAACCCCTTTTGAGCCCACTCAATGCAGGGGGTATTCCCCACATGCCTGCCCCTCTCCTTCCCAAAGACTCTCATCTTTGTTGATGGGGAGGAAGGAGCTCAGGGTCCTGGAAGGATGGGGAGGAAGGGATGGAGCTCAGGGTCCTGGAAGGATGGGGAGGAAGGGATGGAGCTCAGGGTCCTGGAAGGACGGGGAGGAAGGAGCTCAGGGTCCTGGAAGGACGGGGAGGAAGGAGCTCAGGGTCCTGGAAGGACGGGGAGGAAGGAGCTCAGGGTCCTGGAAGGGAGGACACTCGTGCCCCCAAACACCCCCAGGCACTTCTCAGTGTTCTTTGGTTCTTCCCAAGCCCTGCCCGGCTGCCCCACATTGGCCCTTACCTTATTGGCTCCAAATTGCACTCGTGCTTTCCCTTTCACCAGAGTTGCACTGATCTGCATGATCACAGACTCGATGGAGTATGCGCTGCTCCAGCCCTGTGGGTCAGAGCACACACAGCAGAGAGATGAGCGTGGATGGGAGCACGGGGCTGAGCTTCCCAGAGGCAGAGGAAGGGCTTCTCCAAGCCCTACGCAGGCAGCACAAGCTCTCAGCTGCTGGCAGATGGCAGATTTGGCTGCCAGAAGGGTGAGAGCAGCTACCCAGGAACCAGGCTTTGAGCTTTGGGACTCACCTGTTTGGTAAGCAGCTCCATGCAGATGGCACCACCACCCAGGACATACCTTGGGGAAGGAACAGGGGCAAAGTTATGCCACAGATGGATGCAGCCTCACCTCCCCCCCTCCCTGGCTCTGCAGGTGAGCTGTTTGCTCAAACCAAAACCAAAACCAACAGAAAGCAAGAAAAACCATCTGCCAACACTGACCACGCTTCCCAGGAAGGCTGCCACAAACATATTAAAAGTAACAAAGCTACACAGTGCTCCTCACTCTGATGAAAACTGCTCTGGGAAGCAGAGCTGCAGAGCTCTGTGAGCAGAACCAGCAGCTACTTACCCCCCTGACAGCACTGGGGACACAACCCTAACGAACGGTGGATCGAAAGGAAAGTTATCCTGGAACGAGAGAAGGGAAACACGTTGAGAAACGTCTCCTCTGGTGGCTGAGGGCACGCGTCGAGGATGGCGGGTTTGAGAAGCCTTACTTTAAAGGAGAAGTTTAGGAGGATGAAATCTGTTCCTTCTTTTTCTTTGAGGATCTGGAGATCGTTGTGCAAAGCGCTGTCCTCGTCAACCCTGTCGGAAGGGAAGCCCAGAGGCTCAGAGCGGAGGTGATGCACCTCAACTCAGCCACGCTCGCTGCCGCTCGGAGCCCAGAGCTCCCCTACCTGCACAACCCGGCTGCCACGGGGGCCCTGGGTTCACACCCAGAGGGCAGTGACAGCACGCGCTGCCAGCATTCTGCTCCCGGTTTCCAGAGAAGACCATCACACCCTTTTTGCATGCCAGCTTAAAAATAAAAGACCGCCCGGCCCAAGGGAAAGGCAGCACTGGTGTCTGGAGGGTGTGAGAGCTCGGGGTTTTGCCTGATGCACCTCTTCCAGGACTCTAGGAACAGCAGACAGACTCGCAGAGCCCTCAGATCAGCTCATCTTTCTCTGGAGAGAAGTCAGCTGCCCACAAGACTAAGAGGTCAACCCAAGCTCTGCCCTGCTCGCTGCCCCCTGCTCGCTGGGGATGCTTTGGTCCCACCACCAAGATTCCGCCATCCCAAACCGTGCCACCTACTTCAGGAGTTTGACGTTCCAATCGTACAGGCTGTCGTTCACTAGTTCGACTGCATAGTATCCTGCAAGGCAAAAAACAAAGTGGAGTCAGAAGAGGGGCCACCAGACAGGGGGACAAGCCACCAGCCAGCCTGCAAACGCCCTCAGCCCCGCAGCACAGACTGTCCTGCAAAGAAACCACCGTGATGTGGGCGCTTCTGTTGCACCCTACTGAGCCACAGCACCCCAAAAGCTGAGGCTCTGCCCAAAGCAGCCGAGCACACAGCGAAGGACCCGTCCCTGAGACCCACATCCTGAAGGACAAGAGGAGCCCCAGGCATCCCCGTACTCACCGCCCTTGAAACTTGGTGATCTGTAAATATCCCTGAGCTCCTTCATTAGCCGGTCAGTGGCCTGCACAGACCCAGACACCGCACCCTGCAAGGAACCAGCAGGGGAGAAGCTGCACTGTTATGCTGTTCTCACCACGACCGACGCCCAGAGCGCAGCTCCTGCCCAGCCCCCAAACCACACCTCGCCATGCCCTCTCTCCGTCAACTTTTCCCTTTCCTCTCTGCATCAACTTCCCTCCCCTCAAACAAGCGCCTCGCTCACACAGTGCAGCTGCAGCAGGAGCATAAAACACAACCCAGCACCCTTCGCCAAGGCCAGAGGTGAGGCCCAGCTCCTGGGGGCACAGGGCATCCCCACACCCTGCTGCAGGAAGGCTTCCCTGCAGCCTGGCAGCACTCCTCCAGCTCCTCTGCATTACCCTCAGCCATCCCCAAGAGCCACGCTGTACCCGTGGCCAGAGCTGGCCCCTCTGCCTCAGGCCCCTCTGCTTCCCCGACCCTCCCTCCCCCTGGGAGGCACGTACATTTAAGTAATCTTGCCTCTGGTTCTTTTTTATTTTCTCTAAAATGGCCAGATTTTCCTTCCCGATGCCTTCGTCCTCCGTTTTCCTTCCATCCGCCGGCTCTTCCTCTTTCATCTCATAGTGGTCCAAGTCCTCGGTGTCCTGCGAAGGGCAGAGGAGAGATGGCACCAGACCCACCTCGCTGCTCCCTGCTCCAAGTGCAGAGACGTGTGGTCGGAATCCTTTGGGCTGAGGGATGCCAAGGACTTTGTGGAAGAGGAGACTTCAGCACGAGGCCTGGACACGCTCAGTGAGGAAGCTTCAGGCACCAGGCTCCGTCCTGTGCCAAAGCCAGCAGGCAGACAGGCACACTTCCCTTTCCAGATTTAAATTGGGCTCACACAAGCTCTTTGTTCCCTCAATCCTTCTCTTGCCAAGTCTCACGCCTGGTTATAATTAGCCATTAATCTTACAGATGCTCCCCAATGAGCCGAAGGGAGCCGCGCATCGGCTCCAAGCAGCCCCGTGCCATGTTTCTGGAGGCTGGAACAAAGCGTGGGCGCTGCTGCTGGGCAGGATTATCCCCGCTCTGAGGATGCCCAGAACAAACACGGGTCACCAGGAGCACAAGAACAGACTGACAAAAAACCCACAGGACGTTTTCCTCTCCAAGAGAGGTCGCGTTTCACAGCGTGTCTGGAGGCTCTCCTACATCAGCTCAGCTCTCGCTCTGCTCCCACTGCTCTCCCCAGCGAGGGCAGAGGCTCTGCCCCTCATCCCCTTCCACAGCAGCATCCGTTGGGCCGACGCTTGCAACGTTACATCAGCAGAAAACAGCTGCAGCAATCAGGGACGGCTGCAGCCATCGCTTCTGCAGCACAGCAGCCACTGCCACAGCATCGGGGCGCCGAGTTGGGCCGCCTGCAAACGGCCGTGGATACGCAGGGCTCCAGTATTGGTTTTAAATCCTCTTGAGCAAGTGGTCGCTTCGGCCTCTCCTGCCTAGCTGCTGCTATTCTGGAAGAACAGCGCTTTGGGAAGGGCTTTGACATTTTTAGACCGTCGCAAAGGGAAAATAGATCCTCCCAGAAAATCCCTCGAGTGGATTAACCTGCATGTAATGCATCTCCGCAACAGGGCGCAGCTCTGCTGCTCTGCTGCTCTGCTCTCCTGAAACCTTTGCTCCCCACAACAGCGCAGCCTGCTGCACAAGGCAAGGCGTTAGCAGAGAGCACGAGGGGGCAAGGCTTCTTGCTAGCTCACTTCCTGAGGCTTTCTCCCCCAGCTCACAGGAGCACAAGGATTTACAAGCTGCAGATCTGCCCAGAAGCAGCAAAGCTTGCAGACCAGTTCCGCGTGGTAGCAGTTTAACCCCCCCCCCCTGTGGGGAAGGGGGCGTGGTAGAGGCCCTCGGTTTAGCAAGATATTCACTTGGCTAAAAGCCCAACGAGTGCTTGGCTGCTGCCAAGTGACCTGCCCTCTGGTTCTGCAGCGCTCCGAGGTGCACAGACCTCAGGCACCCGAGGAGAAGAGCATCGCCCGACGTCACCATGGAGATTTCAAGATTATTCCACCCACTTCTAGAGATCTCTTAAACCGCAAACCAAACAACCGGAGCCTGTGGGTTTTTCAGCGTGATATTCTCAGCCTTCAGTGAAGCGTGGCTGCTTCTGCCTCTCCTGCCAATTATCTCCCTCACACGCCGAGCCATCCCACCTCATCTTCTCTGCACGAGTCCCATTTCCACCCCATGGCTCCCCTGCGCCCCGGCCCCACGCGCGCATCCCACAAATCAAATTACTTGTGAGGAAATTTCAGACTTGCAAAGCGTGGCAGCACAAAGTGAGAACCCATCTGAGGGGCTCTGACCTCAGCTCGTTTCCCTGCCCTCAGAGGTCGCTGCTGCAGTCCTTTGTGTTTTGCCAACCCACCATTCCTGCTTGGTGACCGGGATTTGGGTGCAAGGCAGGAAAATGTTGAAATCAAACGAATTTTAAACCGGCTCCCATGGGTCTCTTGTCCTGCCTGGCCTCCTCCAGCTTCACCCAAACACGACCTCTGGGCCTCAGCACCTCTCACAGACATCTCACAGCTGCCTGGTACACAGCACTCACCTCTGGCATCTCTTCATCTTCCTCTTCAGAGGACACCTCTTCCTGCGTGCTCTGTGGGGACAAAAATCACACTGTGAGCTTCCGCTGGCGACGCTCCCCTGCTTTCTGAGACACTTCTGAGGTGAGGTTTACACTCAGAAGCAATTTAAAGGCAGAACAAAGCCAAGAAGCTTTATAGGTTATAAACCTGAGCAGCTCCAGAGGCGCAAGGTGAGGGAAGCAAGGTGAGTTAGAAGAAATCAGGTAAGAAACATCTCAAACACTGCCAGGCATCAAACTGCAGAGATAAAGCTGGGCCCACCCAGGCACCAAGGGAGAAGAGACAGACCTTCACCTGCTGCAGCCCTCCTTCAGGGTTAGGAAGCCTCACCCTCTAAAACAAGGCAGCTCCCAAAATGAGCCTAAAAATCCTCACCCTGAGTTCCTCACCTGTTCTGCCGGCAGAGGTTGGTCCAACATTTCCACATCAGGATGCTGGGGGAGGTTGTAGAGTTTGCACAGGTCTGAAATTATTCGCTTCAGGTGCTGCAGAAGCTGCACAGAGAGCAGAGGGGTGTCAGAGAAACCCAGCAGCACAGGGAGCTGAGCCTCAGCCATCCACAGCACTCCCCATTTCCCCAACGAGCAAAGACCCCACAGATGCTCCTTTCTGCCCTCCAAGCTCAGCAGGATAAAATCCCAAGCGAGAATGCATGGGAAGGCATGCTGACAGGAGTCAGAGCTGCCGATGCTGCGATTCCTAAACCCTCCGTGGGAGCAGAGCCCACCTCAGCAGGTTCTACACTGACACCATAAGCAGCCGCCCCCCCATCCCTCCCCACCAGCACCTCTCACCAGCGTATTTCCTTTCCTGACTTCCACCAGCCTCTCCAGGATAGCTGCCAGGTTGGGATCATCCGACTCCACGGACCAGATGGGGGGAACAGCTGGATAAGACTCCTGGGAGGAAGGAAAAGGGGCTGAGCATTGTAAAACCCCTGATCCCATTGCATCGCTCTGACAGCTCAGGGGGAGCTCAAGGCGATCTCAGCACTGAGGAGCATTTGGTGGGGGCTGAGACTGGGGCTCACGCGGGTGCTGATAAGGCCTGGTGGTGCTTCTCAAGCTGGGCTGGAAGTGTCGCAGGAAAGGCTCCCACTCACACTGCCATTAACACGGTGCTGCTCCAGAGAGCCCCGGGCTCCCCGTGTTGGAGCCACAACCCTCGGGAAACTCCGTGGGTGACGGTGAACGAACCCAGAGCCCAACCCGGCCGGGGGATCCCGCAAACGCCCCACCCCCGCGTGGCCAAAGCCGGCCTCGGTGCTGCAGAACCCCCCCGAGTCCCGCGGCTCTCCCAGGCCGCCGCCCAACGACCGAACGCCGCCCGGTACCGCCGCAGCCCCGGCACGCGGCCCGCCCCGGCCCTGTTAACCGCCCGCCCGGCCCTCACCGTGATGTTGCAGTGGATGCGGACGGGACCCGGCGGCGGCCCCCGGGAAGCGGAACCCCCGGCCCTGGCGCCCGCCCCCGGCACGAACTCGCAGCTGATCTCGTCCGGGCAGGCGCTGCCGATACGGAACCGCTCGTGGCCGCGGTGAAAGATGGACTCGAGCAGCCGGAGCTCCCGTTTCAGGAGCCGCCCGGCCGGGGCCGCCGCCGCCAGCCCAGCCCCGCTCCGCCCGGCTCCCCCCGCCGCCGCCTGCGACCCCGCCGCCTCCTCCGCCCCCGCCCGCTGCATCTTCCCATGGAGGGACCCGCTCCGCCCCGACGGCCCCGGGCCCCGCCGCAGACCCCGGAGCCGGCCCAAGATGGCGGCGGGATGGCCCCGCGCGCCGGAAGTGACCCCTCCCGCCGCGAACGGAAGGGGCGGGGACAATCGCCGGAAGCGCCAGCGTGAGAAGCGGGGCTGTATCGAGTGCCGGAAGTGACGAATGGCGGCGGCGTGGAGCGGAGGGAGGGGCGAAGAGGGGGCGGGGCTCGGTGCGCCCGGAGGGGGAGGGTCCAATAGAGCCTAGAGGCGGGGCCTATGGCTTAGGGGGCGGGGCCAGATGAGGGGCGGGGCCTGAGGCGTCCCGGTTTGGGGGTTCCGAAGGTCGGTGCCCCCGGTTCGGGCGGGGCTCTCCCGAGGGTCCGGGTCTGAGCGGAGCGGAGCGGGTCCACGTTCTCCCCCAGATCCAACCGGTACCGAGCCAGCACAGAGCGGGGGCTGCTGCGTGGAACACCGGGATCTGCCCGGTTCCCTCCCTCTACCCGGTTCCCGGTGCCCCCCCAGCTCCCCATCCCGGTGCTCCCGG